TAGACTCGGAAATAGCCACCGGTTAAATAATTTATTTATTTTAAATCGGTCTGTGTAGGACGCTGCGATAGGCATCGAGTGTGTGACCTAGTGTAGTCTGTGTGCAGTTTTGTAGCTTATGAGCAACAGGGAGGACACTAGAGAGGACGATAGGATCCTGCGATCAGGAAGGCGCTCGATAGCCCATTTGGCATTAGGACCAGAGGGCAACAGGTTCCTGTTCCGCCAGCAGAGAGAGAGACAGCAGCAGCAGCAGCGAAGAGCTAGGGCCGCAGAGGCAAGCAGGGCATTTGCAAGTGAGGCCGCAACTTCGGCAGCCATGGCAATTGCTGCGCAGCAGAGCTCTCAGGCTAGTAGTTCAGGGGCTGTAGGGTCAACGGTCGCACAGACCCTGAGTCAGTCCGCTGGCATCATGGCAAGCCAGCCGTTAGTGTTGACCCCCGAGGAGGTCACCATACGACAAGCAGATGCTCAGGAGGCACAGTTACAGAAGGCTTTAGGGGAGATAAAGGCAAAGACAGAGAGAACGATCAGGAGAAGAGCAAGGACGCAGCGGAGACAAGCGGACATTAATGAGTTAGAGGAGATGGACCTGACGAACATGGATGATGATGTGAGGACCCTGAGGACAATCTTGCTAGATGTAGTCGAAATGTAGGATCATCAAATGGTTGTCTTACAGGACATCCAGTAGAGCTTGGCCGTGCTGGTCGGGCGAGCTCAGGCGGCACCATCACCATCAGGGCCTGGTGCCTGGCCCATGGTACAACCTCCTTTTATCCCACCAGTGACTGGGGTATCCCCATTTGTAATTCCTCCAGCATCGGTACAGGCCGCTTCCCTAGGAATGCCTTTAACAGGAGGGTCCTCAATAGGTCTTAGTGTACAGATTCCTATACAGACAGTGTATTCCCAACCTCCGTTGCAGACTGCCGTAATTGGGCAGCCTGCTGTCTCGCAGCCAGCACAACTGTTGGGCGCACAGCCCCAACAGTAATTAGTGCAGCAGCCTGCACCCCAGGGTCCACAACCCGGAGTGTGGCAGGTACCGGGACAAGGCCAATGGGTTTCAAAGACGGCCATCGCCTCACCCAAACCCTTTTCAGGGGACAAGAGAGGCGAAGACCTTGACAGATGGTTGAGGTCAGTGCCTATCTACGTGAAGTGCAAGTTGACCTTGCCACACGAGGAAGTGCTTGAGGCTGCCTCCTATCTCGAGGGGAGCGCAGCACGATGGTTAAGCGGGCTAGTGCACGTGCAGGGATATGGACACGACTTCCGCGCTTGGGCAATCAACCAAAAACTGAAGGACTTTCTCAAGATGGTGGAAGATAGGTGGCATGATCCTCAGGAGGCCCAAAAGGCCACTGATGCGATCCTACCTTTGAGCAACAGACCGTTCAAGTCAGTAAGGGATGCCACAGACGATGTAGAGCGTCTGATCTATGTTCCTAAAATGCGCTATGACCCCCAAGTCTTACTGACCACTTACCTGAGGTGTCTTCCCATGCCACTCAGGAATCAGTTGGCAAGAGAGGCTAACATCAATATGCACAACTTTCCTTCATTTAGCAAGAAGGCCCTAGACCTAGATGCAAAGATAGGGCACGGGCACCAACTCACTACGGACGGAAGGAAGAACACACTGCCTCCCAACTGGAAGGTGAAGGGTCGCATTATGTTCGTTGACAACGATGATTCCACCATCAAGTTGGACGACGACTTTCATGAGGGAGTAGGTGCAGAGGCGAGCAGCGTAGAAGCTTCAAGGGGTGGAGCAGTCGCTGCCTCAGTTCAAAAAGGCAAGGCGACCAGGAGACGCCGTGGAGGCTTCCGGTCTAGGAGTCAAGTTGACCCCAATGCTCCTCCATGGGAGAAAGTGGGTCTTAGTGAGGACGTGTGGAGAGATCAATACACTCGACAAACTTGTATCCGTTGTGGCCAATATGGCCATAATCAGTTCAAGTGCCGAAGCAAGAAGGTGACCGAGAAGATCCCGCCTACGATGGGGCAGGCGCTAGGATCCTCCGCTTCCCAGGGTAGCAATGTAGCCAGTAGTTTTGGGACCGCCTCGGGAAACACGTCGGGCCAGTAGGAATAGTCGGTGTTCCTGCTAGGGTTGAGGTGGTGGACACACCCTCACCATCTCAAGAGATGGCCCAGGCTACTAAATCCGTTGTCGTCCCGCAAATACATTCAGACTCGTCGATCCTCTGTTCGATGAATGTGTTTGAGTCCTTAGAGGAGCTAGAGGAGGAGTGGTATAGATCAGACCCGCTAACTTTTTGGACGGCTATGGCCAAAGCCCCTAAGGGTGAGCTGTTCGTCGGCGAGGTAGTCATCGATGGCCACAAGGCCGGGGCCTATTATGACACTTGCTCGACATAGAATTTAATTAGTCGCGCGTGCTTTGAGAGGATGCTTTTACAGGGGCAAGTGCATCACCTGAGTCGACCTGTGCCAACAAATAGCGCATGGTAGTCACCGACTACCTTAAAGACATTGAGTGTCTTTTTCCGTACGCGGGAGGGGAACTGAGACATCATGTCTCGTTTCTAGTCAGCGATGATCTCCCAATGGGCATCCTGTTGGGTATGTACTATCTTTCGGTTGCACAACCCCAGTTTGACTAGAACCGAAAAGTGGCCAAACACACTTTGCCCGGAGGGGGGATCGCCAAATTAAGTTTAAGGTCAGTAGTCTGATCGAGTCCTACGGATGCATGTGCACGGCTGCGTTCTATAATTACTATGAAAACCGAACTGCTGCAACCCCTGGAACCATTGAATTTGGGGTCCAGTATGAGAAACTGTTGCAGCAGACTGTCGAACACATGAAGAAATCTCAGGAAGCCATGATTGCTTCTGAGAACAAGCGTCACCGACAGTCCACATTTCAGGTAGGGGAACGTGTGTGGGTCAAGGCTAGTGAGTTGGGACAGGAGTTTGGCATCTCTAGGAAACTAATGCCTCAGTATTTCGGTCCCTGGGAAGTCTTAGACATTGTGGGGAATGATTTGGATGGTCCCTTGTACGTCATTCGTATCCCTGGTCACTTACGTACTTACCTTGTTTTTCACGCCTCCAAGCTTGCACCTTTCGCTGAGACAGCACAGTTCCCATCACGGAGATCTATGCTGCCCCCAACCATGGATGGACACGTGGACATCGATGACATCCTGGATCACAGAGACACGCCTGTTCCCAAGCCACCTGGCAGGGGAAGACCTCCCAAACCTGCGAGGGAGTACAAAGTACATTTCAGGCATCATACAGATCCGAAGGAAGATCGATGGATTTCAAGGGAGGAACTTGTCAAGACAGTTCCTCAGATCGTGGCAGATTATGAGAAGAAACTGAAGGGGAAGGCACCAACATGAAGCATCTCAGCGGACTTTCGAAGCTAAGGGGGATGGAATGTGAGGAACAAGCCCTCAAGGGGCCCTATCAGACATCACATTGTTCTGGGCTAAGGCCCCCAGCAAGCCAAGTGCCCGCCCTAAGTGAAGGCGGGCCTGAATATTCGTCAAAGGCAAAATTCAACATTTCCATATGTGGGTATTCAGGCTCTTGCAGCACGCCAGTTGGTTGGGAAGACGCGTGAGCCTCACATTGCTGTGTCGTACAGTTGGCCCAGGCCTTGACCGTTGCGCCTGGGCACACATAAACAAAGCAGGGCCGATACATTGGGAAGCAGGCCTTCGGCCTTTGCAAAAGCAGTATTGCCGACGCACCTGCCTGGGAGCCCTGCACAGATGCAGCAAACAGCCCAAGTCCGGAGACTCAGGCCGTGCCTAACTGCAAAGGGGCCCAGGCCCTCAACTGTAGTCTCGGGCCCGGGCGCAGGGTCTGGGACCCAACCGGAAGCTACTGGAAGCTTCCAGCCAGGCCACACGCAGCATCCAGGAGGCTGCCACTTCCACAAAAGGAGTGAGGCAGCCCAGGCCAGGCATTCTGGCCAGTGCTGGCAATGCGGAAGTGCTGCTGCGCTCTGGCTTGATGCTGCACTGCTGCCAAGGGCGCTGACGGGGCGTGTAGAGGTGAAGTGGGGCGCTGCAGGGCAGCGGGGCGCAGGCGGCCATAGCCAGGCTGCTGGGCGCCAGGGGGTACTGCAGGGCGATTGAGTGGTCTTCAGGGAAGGAGGCGAGTGTGGGGTAATCAAGGTCTGATTGAGTGTGACAAGATACGTACCTGGTACATGAAGAGAGGTCAGCGATGGTGTTGGCAGTCATGTACACTGGTCTTCGTGAGTCGAAGTGATCCTGTTGCGTGAACCAGCTGTAGGTAGGATAGTCGGGTAGAGTAGGCTGGGCGCTGAGCGCCAGACAGAGCAGAGCGACTTTGGATACTGTGTTGGTGTGGTCTACGGGCTTGAACATTGGCTCATTACTTCATTGTACTGCTCTATATGGATGGTTTTCTCGGTGCATTTGTACTCTCTGCTTGGGACACGACTACTTGGACAGCTGTGTGATTTCGCAACTTGGTTTTATGTATATCGCTCACACTCATATTCCTTGCATAATGTTCTCAGAGGACTTTGAACTGAGGGGGGTGGACCGTTGGGGATTGCGGGATTTGAATCCGCAACCTGCCCAACTATCTGCTGTATTTCAAGTTTCTGCTATTTTTGTTCTTGCCTGGATTTGAACCAGGGAACAAACAAAGTATGAACAGTCGTTTTGTTTTCTTTGTTTTTACTGTTATGAAGCAGATGAGTTATGAGCCCGGTACCTGCCTGTACAGTCCGTAATTGCCTAGCATAGTGGTAGGATCTTTTTGGCTGGTAGTTTCAGGCTTTTCTTTTGGTAGGAAGTGTTTGAGATTTTGGAAAATTGTAACAGGGAGGGGGGGGGGGGCAAAGCTGGGGGAAACAGGGGGAGGAAGGGGCAGGGGAAAAAAAAAAAAAAAAAAAAAAAAAAAAAACAGATTACTTCCAAAGCTACGTTAAATAAAGCATGCAATGAAGAAACTGAAAATGGTCTCTTCTTGCAATTTCACCTAGCTCCACGAAGCCGTCCTCCATGGCTCCTGGTCTTGAATCCCAATCTACATTCAGCTCTGAATCTTCGGATGTCAAATCTGCCGAGTAGGATCTGCGACTGAGCTTTTCCCAGATGTTGTCATTATCCAGACTTGTGAAGCTCTTCTTCATTTTGCTGCCATGAAATGTAGAAACAAGTTCAAAGAACTAGTTAAAGGTGTAGTGGAGGGAGAATCAGTTAAACAATTCATAAACAGAGAATCTGAACTGGTTAAAGAATTGCGATTAAAAAAATTATACCTGTTAGGCAGATTCAGGGATTCACCCCATAACTTATCAATTATTTTTTCACCCTTTGAGGAGCATTGGTTCAGTATAATTTATTTTTACATTTGAATAATTCATTATTTTACACCGATCCAAAAAGGCCAGAAGAATCAGTATGGCTCTTCGCTTGTTTGCTCAGTTGCTCCTTTCACCCAAACTGGCTTTCACTCAGATCCAGCCCTGGCAAGAAGCATCAGTCGTAAAACGTATACTCGTTATCTGATAACTCTCGCTGAAACACAGGAACGATACTCTGTGGGGGCTCGAATAAGTGTGAGAAAGACTTCCTATTTCAGTCTGATCCAGCCCTGGCGAGAAGGTTCAATTTCAAATAAGTGCGAGAAATACTTCCTCTTTTCAGTCCGATCCATTCGTAGAACCTGTACTCATTTTTATCCTGTAGCAGTGTAGCTCCGATTGAAACATAAGCACAGCGAAACTCCAGCAAGGACGACGACCCAGCGATGGGCAAACTGAGACCATAGTCTCAACACTACAGTACAGGCAACTCTCCTCTCCTCTCCTCTTTTTTTTTTTGCACACAAACTACATGACAGAATCAAAATGGATTCTGAGAGGAAAAGAGGTACTAGGCCAAGCTGAAAGTCAATCCTCCTACATAGGAGCAATCAATGCTGATCAGGGTTCCTTCGGCCAGATGGAAGGAAGCGTGAGAGTGTTCACCATGTATTCCAATTCTCGACTTGCCGGTGGACAGGAACCGGACTGATGCTCCCCAGAATGAATATGGAGCCAGGACCATAAGGACCTGTTTAAAGCTGTTTTTAGTTAAAACTTAAAAATAAATAAATAAATCCAGAAGTGCCAAAGAAGTGCAAAAGACCTGTTTTTCGCAGAACCTGTACTCTTGACGAACTGGAACCTTCCGGAAGTGCCAAAGAAGTGCAAAAGAAATTGCAAGAGACTTGCTCTCGAGATTGCACGGCACCGTAAAAGTCCTGAGGCACAGGCAGTCAATCCCCTTGGGCCAGAACAATCAATGCTGCGATATTGCTGCAAATACTGGGTTTTGATTCTTTTGGAGCTTATGTGAGGGATGATGTCGGAACAATTACCCTTACAAGGGTAATTGTTCGTGTTTTGAAACGTCAGACGCGGAGCAAATAGGCGACTTCCTAAGTGCCGTCAAGCGACACTTTGGCGGTGAGTTAGAGCTGATCAGGGTCAAGCGCTGCTGTGTCTTGTCCGGCGGGATCAGTGGCCACCATCTTGTCATATGCTGCGATAGTATGTCTCTTTGTTGATCGTCATTCATTTCTTTTCTCGCTCCTTTTCTTTTTCTTTTCTTTTTTTTATATTATTATTATTATGGCTTTTGAGTTTGACGATTGTGCAAAGGTCCGCCTTTGCAACAGTTGGTTTGAGTATGGGCAGGGTCGTGGCCCCGCCGAGTAACAGTAGAGGGGACGTTTGGGCCCGAGGGTGTGTCCCTAGTATGGCTGTTGGTCGTGGACGAACCGGCCTAGCTTAGTTGGCACTCCTCCTGCCTGTTCCAACCCGGACCTGAGATCAACTTCTACTGCGCTCAGGTAATGCTTGAAGACCAGCAGGCCTGTCGGAGCCATGCTTCGATCAACTGTTGAAAATAAAGACCTGAGTTGAGTTCACCAGGGATAGATGAGCATAACACTATCCCACTGCACTACTAATGAACCTAGCTGAGTTGATATACCTGCAAGCTGTTGAAAAACAGGCCTAAGTTCGAGTTCAGGTACAGCACCAACCGGCTTAGGTCAGTTGGTACAGCCCAATTGCCTAGTGGTTAGGGCACTGGTTGGAAATGCGCATTGTGGTCTAAGGTTGCCGGTTCAGTTCAGAACTCCACACCTGCGTAGAGTACTCCAGAAGGGGCGTCGACCGATGTAGTGGCCATTCGCAACCAGCAGAGCTGTAGCCCCAGTGCTATTGATGCGGAGATTGAAACAAGATGAGTTCAGTTTTGCCGTTTTGCTTGCGCGCTGCCACGCATGAGAGCAGACGATGTCAATTCCCCTTCACCTTACTCATCTTGGCAACCGTTATCTCCTCCACCACATACTCCTAGCATACGGGAGTAATAGCTTAAGCCACCAGTACCTACCGGTTGGGGCGGCCGTTAACGCGGAAGCCGAATCGGCCTGCCCCTCCGGTCAAAATTCATTTGAGGCCAGGGGGTACGAAAAATGCCGTAGGTACTGGTGGTTTAAGAAGGGCACTAGCTCAGGATCAAGGTTGACCTCTTGATATGAACTTGGGCCAATTTCTATTGCAGAAAAAAATTACCGGCCCATTTAGTTTAACAACTTGGGGCATCTGTGCACAAAGTGTGTTGGACTGCAGCAATCGAGGCCTCCGAATTAGAAATCAGACCGGTGGATTCTAACTAACCCTCCTCCTCCTCCATTCCTCCTTGCCAATCTGCAAGGCCTCCAAATTAGAAATCAGATAACCGGCGATGCATCTTCCGCAGATTTATCACAACATATCATGTTACCAAGACAAACAAATTGGAGCAATACTCATCTTTCAGGACCATTTCCTGGCACCTCGTTTGTAAGAGTTCATAAGCCACATGCACAAAACGAATTTTGGCCCAGATCAGTCTTACATAATTTCTATTAACTTCTCACTCTATGAATACACTCAGATGCAAAATTCGATGACTTCCTTCCCTGCTGATTGCCCACACCAACGCATTCTTGTTGAATGGATTCACACTGCAAGCTTTCCCAGTCCCGGTTACAGGGTCCTACATCCTCCCAGTCCAAGGCCCCCGTCGATTAGAATCTTAGGGCCTGTAGGATCAGGCGTCGCAGGCCGGTAGTCTACAGTACCACACAATACCCGAAGGAGCACGTCAAGTCCCCAAAAGTACAATTTTGCAGCAGCCTCACAAGAAAGCTGGGAACTTTCCCAAAATAACAATTTGGCAAGGCAGAGGGTCAAGGAGGCCAGTACCAATTGAAGCAGGCACGAAACAGTCCACTGCAACTATATATCTTGGACTACAGTGCCAAAAGGGCACCAAAGGTTAACAGGGACCCCCACTATTCAGCCCCAAGGTAACAACCCCAACCCTGAAAAGTGCATTGGAGACCATTTTTTCCAGTGTTTTTTTGTCTTTTTTTTTGCCCTGTTCTCCAAAAGGGGTCAGTTGTTCATTTCGCAAATTTGTGGAAGCGCTGGTGGAGCTTGTGCGAACTTGCGAACTGGACGAAGAATAGCATTGAAGGGAGAAGAAGACCAGTGCCCCCTGGCTGCGAAAGACCACCATAGCCAGGAGAGGGGAGATACAGTGCTCGGCGGTCATAGCCGCCCGTTTGTGGATAGGCATGCCACAGGAGGCATTCAGGGTAGATCTAGGACATAGGGAAGACAGGAACAGTAGCGGGGAGCATCAAGGGTGAACAGTGCAGTATAGTGTGTGTGTGTGTGTGTGTGTGTGTGTGTGTG